AGGTTGCAACCAAGGTAAGCGTTTTTAAAGGTAGGACAAACCAAGATCAAAGTCAAAGTGTTAAAAGTGTTGATATCAATTGAAAGGTATTCTCGCATTGACTACATAAGTGAAGTTTTAAAGACCTAAATCTTACAATTCAAATGTTATGGCCAGGTAAAGTTTTCTTTTTAATACGGAAATATCTAAGGTCAAAAGGTCAAAATTATTGGTTTAAACAAAAAGCTCTTGTCACAAAGAATTGATATTTGAAATATGAAACTCCTAGCATCTACCGTTGAAAAATTATGGCCAAAGTAAAAGTTTGTTTTTTTAGTAAAAATGTGTCAAACTCCAAGGTCATGGTCAAAGGGTTAAGATTTTAATATCACATCAAAGTTCTTGCCACAAGGATTTATCAGGTGAACTATGAAAGCCCCATGCCTTAACGTTCAAAAGTTATGACCAAGGTCAAAGTTTTTTGACAAGTACTAAAATCTCCAAGGTCAAAGTTGTTGGTATCCAATGAAAGGTCTCTTTAAAAATATATACATGTAAATATATATATATATGGTGTACACTGTTGGAAAGATATTGCCAAAGTAAAAGCTTGGAATTTTAGTGTTAAACTGGGTCAAACTCCTAGGTCAAGGTCAAAAGGTCACGTGATGTGGTACCATAAGAAAGGAATACACATGTGATAGTCATGCCACTAAATCAAAACAGTCAAAGTTTTTACGGACAAACAGACAGACAGACAAAGACACAAAAAGAGAGACAGACAGGTAGACAGACAGACGGGCGGACACGACAAAAACTATATACACCCCAATGAAAGGTCTCTTTAAAAATATATACATCCCCCGAAACTTCTTTCAGTGGGGCATAAAAATATTTTAATGACCAAATTGTATATGGTCGGGTTATTTGATACCAGGGAACTATATACTAAGGGGATAGGCAACTCCTTCATCGCCATGTTTATTTACCCAAAACATCACACACAACACTACAAGTTTTTCAAACGACGTTTATTCCCAGTAAACAGGTTTTTTTTCTGATAAATATCATTCATTCCTTTTATGTATAGGAATAGATTTATTGATAAATTTTGAAGCAAAATAATTATATAATCGAAATATAAAGAAAACAAACACCGAAATCTGCGATTTCTTTGAAATCGGGGCATGTGCTGATTTTGCTTAAAACAAAATTACTACTAAGATAGGGAGTATAATACGTGCTAAAACAAATCTTGAATGATTTTTTGACAGATAATTTAAGGATTTTAACTCAAATATGCATAAGCTTTAGAAATATACATGTAATTAATTAAAGTGGCCTTACGAAATCTTGCGACTTACGAGATATTGCGAGACTTGCGGTAGTTGCCTATCCCGTTAGTATATAGGTCCCTAGTGATACGTAGATTATTTAAATACATGGACTTCAACAATTATCCATAATATGTTTTGTTTAATTACCTGGATGTATGCGGTTTATGCGGTTTACGCCTTAAAACCTCCCATATCTATCCCCATACCAGACCAGAAGCTCTTCACCCGGCTCTACGTCTCGTGACGTCATATAAAAGATGATGCCCTTGCACTTGATAGGAATGACATTTTCCTGTGTATATTTGGCGGGAGAATTTACGAATCGTAACCAGTTACTGCAGGCTGGATCTTCTGCATCTATGTTGTAGCTACCATCGGTACCCTGCTTATCTACCTTTGAAAACAATAAGATCCTAATTGTTAAGAATTAATTTTGGTTCAAAATGTTTTATATATTTTATCTTGAAGACAATAAGATCCACATTGATCAAAATAACTTTAAAGTAATGAATATTTAGGGATTAAAAGATCCTAAAAAATAAAACATTGTGAGAGTGTTGTATTAGCAATGCTAGTCCCCTACCGGCAAGTGTAATCTGGTGCCCTCTAAAATTGAAAATTTTATAAGAAATCATTGAAGTAGAAAAAAAAATGAAAATTTTTCTATAACTCATCAAGGTAAAGCAACATACACCAGAAATACTTTCAACGTCTGCAAGCGTTTAGATAAAAGGCAGGAAATCACTGAAGGTTATAAAAATGAAAACTTGATCAGCAACTTATCCATTCATAAATCAGCTAAAAATTTGCCAGGGTTTACATGTAGAAGAAAAAGTGTACATAACCATGTTGAAGAGACAGAGGGACAGCTAGACGGACAGGCGGACAGGCGTGGAACGAAAACAGAGGAATCCTTTAGTCATCTGGTTTCACCGGCAGGGAACTAGAAAGATGTAACTAAATATGTAACTTCATTTCGTTTTCATTTTGTTTTATTCTCTATGTGATTTTCCTGCCATGAATAAAAGTCCTCCTTCTTGTCTACCGTGTGAATAAGTCCTTCATAAACACCGAGGATCGTGAACTTCGGAACAAAGGTCTCTGCCCATGCGCCCATCCCCGCTCCCGGAAGTGACGAAGATTTAATGGCAAATCCTGGTGGCGTGGTCAGATTAGCTCTCTGGTGTGGCAGGGAACCTAGAGGAATCTTACATGTACAAGATAATGTCAAGGACGCGTAATCTTATGTATAATCTTAAATTAACTGCCAGTATGTCATTTATATTATGACAAAGTCAGTGAAATTCTACTGACAGGAAATTAAATGGTAGAGGTCTAGCTTTAAGGAAGCTGTAAACACTGCACACAAAAGAGTTCCTAATGCCTCCCATCAGTGACCTGTGATCTACGGACCAGTTTAGTGGATTTTGTGTGATTTGTTAAAGTATTGTCTGCATAGATATTTAAAATATGATATTATTGGCAATTGTATCATGTATAAGGTGAAAAATCTAAACAATGCGCTTTTAATTTTACTGTATATACCTTATTATTAGGAATGTGTTCATATATAGAACTTTTTACACCATGCTTAATGAAATCTCCACAAATTGGGAAGAGAAAGAAAAAAATTTTAAAATTGTCCTTACCTTGCATTCATAGTATTTTTACAAGATATAAAATGTATTTCAAACTTCGTTTTTTGACAATATCAAGACTACGTGTATTGTTAAAAACAATATCTTTTTTTGTATAACAAAGGTTTAAAGTGTCTATCCAAGATTTTTACTTTTACTGATCAAGTGTGTATCTGCTCATATATAATTATCATTTAATACGTGCCAGATATTATACCTGAGGCTTTCTTACATAAGAGACATGGACTTTATTTAAGAAATGGGATATCATTTTTAGAGTTTCATTGGGGTATGATATGAAGTCGGTCACGTGATCAAATTCTATAACGCCCGTAGGAGTTATGGTAGATTTGATCACGTACCGACTTAATGTCATAACCTATTAAGAATCTAAAGAATGATATTTTATTTCTTATATTTATATTTTACGTTTTCATTCATGTTAAAAAGAAATATAGGCATTATATATACCTTGATTTTGAAATGCAACGTAAAGTATCTACGACGTCAAGTGACGCCATAGTCAGAACTTTCCAAATAGCTCGTGCATTAAGCTTTCCATACGCAAGAATGTCTGATCATGTGACCAACTGCATGTAATTGAAAATTGAATTTCAATTTTATTAGCATTTTTATACAACTGTATAAGGAAAGAAATCAGCAAATGTAAATATAAATATATATAGGATCTTCCATGATTTGTAGTTGGATATGATTTTTATCCAACGAGTTGTGTGATTTTTATCCCCGAGCCTTGGCGAGGGGATAAAAACACACAACGAGTTGGATAAAAATCATATCTAACTACAAATCATGGGAGATTCTTTTTATTCCATGTTTAATGCTTCACAACCGATGTTATACACTGTTTTATATAGCACGCCACTTTATTTTACTTCATCACGCTAACGCAAAAACCATTGTGACGTCATAACTGCACGTAAGTTTTGGATATGAAAAATTTATCAAATGGGTCATATACACGGGATAAAGGGGTAAACATGGGATAAATATGTATATCTGATGTCTCAATTCAAAAGAAATGCCTTTTATCTTATGCATCCTTTATATGAGAAACAAGCTCTTAATCTGAAATATAGTTATATGAAATATATTATTTGAAAAATAAGCTTAATATTTCAAAGATATACAAATGTTTAATACAATCTATTATTCTCAGGAAATTAAGATTTACTACCATCATTCGGTTTAAAAAATGTTTTAAATTTCCGAAAACTTCACACTCAAGTTTGCACCTATTCAAGAGAAAAAGAAGTTGGGATATTAAAAAAATAATTGTCATACGACAAAAATAAAACGACTAATGGTAAAACACTAACCACTTTCGAATGAGGGCATTCTGCAAATAAGGAACTATTTAAGCTTTTTAATTTACGAAAACAAGACAGGAAAGGAAGAGCTGCTCCAAAAGAAAACTACCTCATTGATTTTTTTTAAACAAGGTTCGAAGATAATGAAAATATGAGATTGTACTAGTAAACACGCGCAAGTTCATACAAGTTAGACAATTTGATAGAGTTCCTATTAATGTAAAAGAGTTTCTGTTAATGTAATGAAGTGTCTGTTAACGTAACAGAGTTCCTGTTCATGTAATAGAGTCTCTGTCAGTGTTATAGAATTTAGAGTTTCTGTTAATGTAATAGAGTTCATTTTTATGTAATAGAGTTCTTGTAAATGTGATAGAGGTTCTGTTTAAGTAATAAAGTTGAAAGATTCTATTAATGAAACCGAGTCTGTGTAATAGAATATACTAGAGTTACTATTAATGTAATTGAGTTATCAGACACTAATAAAACAGGAGCCCTAATAAGTGTTTTTAATCGATCAATGAAATACCTCGCCTACTCCAAATATTAATTAAACACATTAAAAAACCAACTCTGACAAGCACAACATTCTGGAATTAACATCCACTAGAGGGTTTTTTTATATACTTTAAGCAAAACTAAAGAGCTGTTTTCAGTGTAAATATGTGTAAGTAGTGTACCACAAAAATAACAAATTATAGGTTGGATGCATAATAATTAAGATTTCAGTTAACAAGATGGAGTAAAAGGGGTCGTAAAACGGAGCCAGGACACTATGCTTAAACGGAAACATGTTTTTCTTATGACAAATTAGTAAAGTAATTTTCAAAAAGTATCATTTACAAGCTAAAATCTAGTATATTAAGTTTCTTCAACAAGATATATATAAAAATGATTCATTCTATTCTATATAAAATGATTTTCAACGATGAAGCTAAAATATCCTACGGTTTTGACAATGAAAAAACTTAATGTATTATTAATATCAAGAGTCTTTCAGAAAAGGTGTAAATAATATTTTTTTTATATACGGTCTCCAGTATAGGTGAATAAGTCTATGCATGGCCTAACGAAATTGAGCATGATGTCACGGTAAAACTGTACAGACGAACCTAGGCGAATAGATAATTATTTTCTTTCATACACTTATACAAAAGTAATTTCTCATTAATATTATAAACAAAAATATGAATATGTAGCTTATCTTTGTATTATAACACAATTTAAATGTAGAATTAAAGCCATCTTGATCTCGCTGAACTGACTGAGATGCCGTCATATACTAGTCTGACATGCCATTTCTCTGTACTTAAAATAAAGATCAAGCAATTATTGAAGCTTGTAATTATGAAAATCAAAATAACATAAGCGTGATCTGACTAAACGTGAGTCACATTTTTTAATGCATTTATCAATATTTTACAGTAATTACAGTTAAACTGAAAACGAATAGGTCTCAGATAAAGCAGCTGTACTGCATATTTATACATAAACAAACTACAATCACAGGGACAATCCCTCGATAACGTTCAACGATATCCGGTTAACAATACATTATGGCTTTTTAGACACATGTAGCTATTGTTCCTACTATTCAGAAAAATGGTGGAAGCCATTTGTATTCTGAAGTTTTTTTTCCGTAGATTTCCTTTTTTTCAATATAGACAATGTTAAGGAACGAGGCTTAGCAACAGACGACTAAAATTTATAGCGAGCGCAGCGAGCCTCGCGAAGCGACGCTCGTCACTGCGAGCTCTTAAAGCAACGCCTGTGCGAAGAGAAAATTCGGACTGCTGCACATTCATTCGATAGAATTTTTTGATGCCGTAATTTCGACCCACAATGCATCACTTGTTTTAGCTACGTTCCCGCGAGAATAACAGCAAATGTTCAACAAAAAGTTTACTCGCCTTTACTTTATGGATATATATTTAATATATATAGAAAACGAAACGTTCTTCATTAACTTTCAGCACTTTTCAAGCTTTTTCTTGGTATATTGCAACTTACATACGACGTCATGTGACGTCAGAGTCTAAACGCACCAAATGTCACGTGCGGTTTGACGAGCCCGATCTAAATCAAAACAACAAAAGAGTTTGCGCTCGCTCTAACGGTCATACCGTCAACATATTATAATTCACGAGCGTGGAATTATTGTTCTCATCAATCTTCGCATTCAGGAATTTTTTTAATGAAAAAAAAAATGTCAATTTTATAGTAAACATTCATCAGTATATCGTTGAATGTTTACGATCGTCGTAGCGGTTTTTTCCTTCTAATATTAAATATGTAAGGTGATAAATAGTTGATATGATTGAAATTGCATTGTTCAAATTCAGTAGGGATTCTATTCATACATATGCTTTTAAATTAAAACTTGTGTTAATTAAAATTATATTTACATATTTAATACAGTTTTTGTAGGAATATTTTAAGACGTGTGGGCAATTCTAACCTAGCTGAGTGTTTTCTGCAGATAACGTTCCAAGCTGTAGGAGATAGTTTAAGGAAGAAATGAATCTTTTGCATGGCAGTATGAAAACAAATAAAAAAAGAAGACTTTAAACCAAATACACATGTCCGTTTTAATACATCTACAGTAATTCTTTTTTAGAGAAATGAGATAGATTGGAGGAGGGAGAAAGAGTTCACTACAAAAACAAAATGTCTGGTATTTCTCAAAAGCTCACAATTCATGAAAGACTTACAGGTGAATTTTTATCTTGGATTCATTAATTATAAAATAAACATGCTCATTGTAAGAAGTTTTATTGTCACAAAATTGCCTAATGTTGTTTTTTATTCCCTTATTCTCCAGAGTTCAAATTGCAATAATATAAGTGATTCTCAACATGAAAACAATCTAGTCTATGCTTTTGTATAAAAAACATGAACACAGAACCATCTCATCTGCTTCCTCTCTGTAATGTGAAGATACCTGATTTTATGAGTCATTGTATATAAGAGAAATGACAAAATACCATTTTCTGCTTTATTTAAATTTCTTTGATTGCTTGCAAATTGCACACGATCATGAATTGCATTTATACATGAATAAAGTAAATCTAGAGCGAAATATTCGTATATAGAATTGACCAAAAAAAAATGGAATATTTTATCTCAGATATAATAGATTAGGCAATGATTTGAATAAAACTGTGTGCCTTTTTTCTTAAGGGGAAGAAAACAATAATCAGCAATGATCAGATTTTATAAATGTTTATGAATGATCCACCAAAGCTCTATCTCATAAAATTTGTGTCAAAATCTTCCCTGACTCTGACTCAAGTTAGGTTAATTGTTAACATGAGATTTCTTAATAGTCAATTTAGGAAATTATTTTTTTTTTCTCATTTCCCAATTACAGGTGATTGAACATGGCATCTGGAGACATATAATACATCAAGATGGTTTCGATTTAATTAAGTTGCATTCCACCCAATGGCGAGACAAATGTAGAGTAACTAATATTTCTCCTCTCATGCACATAGGAAAGGTGCTTTCAACCTGGAAGACATATAATATTTTCCCGATGGACTGCATGAAAAGCAATTAAAATGAGTGAATCATTTAAAAAAAAAATAAAAATTTTAAAGTCTGAGAATTTGGGTCGATTTAATTCGGTTGCATTCATCTCAGGGACTTCATTTTTTGATTGCTCTTTGTAAGATATTTTGAGCAGAAAGAA